TGTAGTAGATGGATCGTGGATTATATATATATACATATATATATATATATATAAATTCAATATTTACGAAGCATTATTTTTGTGATATTATTTCTAGATTTCTTGAGTTATTAAAGGTTTTTGGAATTTAAAAAAGAAAAATTTTTAAAATTTTTTAGAGTTTTCTTTAATTCAAAATTTTGCCATTAAACAGTCACTTAAGATACCCATTATATCGGTAATTGTGTGTAACATATTTCTCTATTCGGAAATTAATTCATAATTATAACCATCGACAGCCTAAAAATAGCAGGATGAAAAACGAACAACTAAAAGCGAACAATTAATATGAAATATGAAAAGTAACAATAAATAGTCAAAAGGGGGTCGATTTTAATTATTTTTGTCGAGAGTTGAATATTGCTATTTATTCTCAATATCATCTGATAATTTCCTCCTTATACAGAGAGCTTCCTTCTAGTCTGAAAAATAAAATGACATGAAAGCGAAGTGTCTTAAAGGCAAATTGAGCATTTCCTAATTTTTTTAACGTCAGGCCCAGAATTTCTGTTCATTTTCTCTGGGAAATGTCAGAAGTGTTGAGCCTTAATGTTACCCAGTGAGCACCCGCGAACCTTAGTCAAGGAAACGATCAACATTACCCACACACTGCCACAGATTCGTAGGTAGAGCCACATTCACACTTCGTAGGACAACACAGAGAGAAACATCCATGCCTTGAGCGTAATTGGAATCCGCGTAATCAGGTACGCTAACCGCTCAGCCACTGGCCGGCTAGCATATCTTAATAGAGAATACTTTTATTTTGAACAAATGTTCTACGAGGCAGCTTCAGACAACTTTGTACGTCAACTTTGTAAGTTTTTAAAAAAAGAAAACTCTGCTCAATGATTTAAGTTATCGATAATATGTTACAAAGGAAAAAAAAAGATTAAAAATGAGAATAAGGATGAGAATGATTTTAGCATAATTTGCTTGTAAAATAAAAGTATCAAATAATTGCGTGAAATAAGAGTATTTTTAATTGAATTTCAGTAATATTTCCATGTTTACGTGTGGATTTATGATATCCATAATAATAAAATATCTAAATTCATAGTAATAAAACTCGGATACCTTTGCTGATCAATACAAATCAGATAAAAAAAAAGAAACTTAACATCTTTTTTATTTGTCCAGTAAAAGAGTGATTCAAATTTAATTACTCAATACAATCTTCTTCCCCCTCTTCTTTAAATAGAAAAACTGTTTTAAAAATATCAGCGAAAATTGAAATCAAGCACTGTTAAGGAGGCTAAAGATCTACAATCGGAGTGCAAGTTGACTGCGAGTGAAGAAACTCGTAGTTACGAAACTGACTGTCAAAAAATAATGAGGAATACACTTTTCGACTCGTGGTCATAGTTTCCAAACCGGGGTTTCGGAACTATGAGTTTCGCTCTACACTGTTAGAAATTTCTCAGAAGAAATGGCTAAATAACAATCTATTTAATTGTTGTTTTACAATATTTTAACAAATCAGTCAAATAACCATAAATAAGATGGTAACGAAACTATTAACAGTGAGAAAAATCATTTATTAACTATTTTTACCTAAAACTGTTAAACAACGAGTATTTTATTGCACCAACTAAGTCCATCTAATGAACCAACTTAGTTCCTTGCAACTGCGTACATCAGGGGTGTCAAACTCGCGGCCCGTGGGCCGCATACGGTCCGAGATGAACATCTTTCTGGCCCAGTCAATATATCCGACGCAAGATAAAAATAACTTAGAAATGTGAATTAGAAAGGAAACTAGCATATGAAATTATAATATACTTTATTTATAAACTATACGGATCATTTTAAATTGTACGCGCGAAAATGTAAAATTCTATTTGGCTTGCGGCACCTGCCATTCCAGGGATACTGCATCGCATCAAAAATACGCAGAAAAAATTTCAAATCTTCGAACGGAATTTGAAACAAGGTTTAAAGATTTTAATTCCTCGGAAAACAAATTTTGTTTGTGTTCGTCGATTTTCTCAATAAATATAGACTCAGTAGTATGTAAATGGAAGTGATTGAGATTCAGTGCGACTCAAATTTGAAGGCAAAATTCATTGAAGTGGGTGTGGGTGAATTTTACAAATATTTACCAGCAAGGTTTAAAAAAATACTCGAAAATTCGCATATGAAATTCTTTCCATGTTTGGAAGTACTTATCAGTGCAAGCAATTATTTTCTGTTATGAATGGAAATAAATCTCCTGTCCGAAACCGCATTAATAACGCTCATGTTGGGTCAATTTTGAAAGTAATCTCGGCCAAAAAAATTTCTCCCGAAATAGGAAAGATAGTAGCAGAGAAGAGAGGCCAAGTATCAAACACTAATTTAACTTTATATATGTTTATTACAATGTGCTATTCAAAATAAAAATATTTGTTTCTAAGAACATTGATTTTTTTTTTTTTTGCAGCCCACCTAAAGTTAAGCATTGTTTATTTGGCCCAAGTTAGCTTTTGAGTTTGACACCCCTGGCGTACATATTGTAGCCGAGAGAGCTAATCCTGTCAATCTCATGACCGACAGAACGGGGGTTCGAGTCCCAGCGTTGACACCTCCATTCCCTTCAACACACAGTATCCAGTATCCTAGAAGAATCTCCAGTATCCTGTAATCTCCAATGCCCATTATCTAATGAGAAGCCCATGTTCAGTTAAATTTCTTTTTTTCACGGTTTTGAAACCATGGGAGCTGTAAACGGTTTAAAAACCGTATAGTTTTGCATTCATGATTTTATCACCATACCAGTTGTAAACGGTTTAAAAACAGTAAAAGTGAAAAATATTCTTTACCGTAAATTTTACGGTTAATCGGATGGACAGACTGCATCCGGTTATTCTACCATAATTTTAGAATGGAAATTCTAACAGCGTAGGTTAGAGTTAACGCTGAATATGGGGTTAAGATTTTGCTACTGTCTCTTTTCGGGGTCTATGATGATATAATTTCCGACAATTTTGCATGCCCTCCACGGTTCATCCTTTAGACATAATAGGTATAGAATTGTTATTTTTTTTCATTAAATTTGTCAAAAACGTATCTTCTTAGTGTATCTGATATAACAGATGCGTTTTCATGTTGTTCCGGTTTTCGTTAAAACGTCTACTCGTTCATCACCTTCTATACCAACGTGTGACTAAACCAACTGAAAATAGATTATTTTCTCTAATTTAAGAAAGTTTTAAGTTTGCTTAATTTCAAATATTATTTCAGTATCAAACTAACGGTTTCTCTGATTATATGGCAGATATTGAATTAACAAGGATAGTTACTTTTGTAATCATATTTGTTATTGCTTTGAAGTTTCCTAGTTCCAGATTGATTGCATTAATCTCTGCATTAAAATTATACATATTGGGACACAAGTAAGCACTTTGGAAAAAAAGTCTACTTTAATTTCAATTTGATAATTGATTTGTCTAACCAGTAAACTGATCATCTTAAATCAGGGATGCGTCTGCATATACACTGAAGAGCCAAAAAAACTGGTATGCCTGCCTAATATCGTGTAGGGTACCCGCGAGTACGCAGAGTACGCGAGTACGGCACTCTTCTGAATTTAGACACTTCCGCTAGCCACCAAAATCCCCAAACATGAACTTTATTGAACATATTTGGGATGCCTTCCAACGTGATGTTCAGAAGATATCTCCACCCCCTCTTACTCCCACTGGTTTATGGACAGCCCTGCAGGATTTATGGTGTCAATTATCTCCAGCACTACTTCACACATTGATCAAATCCATGCCACGTCGAGTTGCGGCACTTCAGCGTGCTCGCGGGTACCCTACACGATATTAGGCAGTTATACCAGTTCTTTTGGCTCTTCAGTGTAGAACACAGACGTATTCCTCTTCCGAATATAGTTCATTAATCATACACAAAAAAGTTGCTTTTAAATATGCTTCAATACTATCTTCTTTGTTCTTTCCTCAAATTCAAAGAAGTCAGTTTCCTTGAAACATCCATATAATATAGATAATAAAGATTCTCCTAACTTTTATATTCTGTGTATTCTCTAATTTTCTCTTTACATTTCAGCTGACTGCGGTGAACATAAAAATGGAGAAACATTTCAAACAGAAGATCCCTGCTTCCAACAAACGTGCAGTAATGGAATATTGTTGTTTAAAATGTAAATTCATTTAAATAACAATTTGTTTTATAAATATTTTAAAATTTTCCCTAAAATTAAGGGTAATGATTATTTTCATAAAAAATAACGTTTCACGATATCGTAAATCATGCGTTCTTATAATATTGATCTATAATATTGATCCTTTTATTTTTTATGTAGAATAAAATAATTTCAATAATTAAATTTTATCAGTAACGCCTTAAGATACTGCGTACAATTTATAGGGCAAAATTATTTTACAAATTTAGCCCCAAAATATAGGATTTTCCGATGTTTTTTTTCTGTACGAATGCCTTTACAAAGTGACTGATAAAATATACAATTCGATTTAACTTCACTGCTTTTAATTTTACTCACAATAAAGAAATCATGAGATAGGAAAGAAATGCGAAAAAAGTAAGCTTACATACAGTTTATGTTATATACGTACCTTATTATTTAAAAGTAGGGAATTTTTTGTCATGACCAAATCTTAAAGAAAAGTATCCTTTTAAAAATATTCTATCATCTTCAAAAAAAGACTAAAGCTTAAAATTTAATTAAGAATAAATAAAAAAAAAAGTTAATTGAATCATATTTATTTACTTTTGTTTTACAAAAAAATTTTTACTGTCAAATTTATGAGTTAAATTTGGTCCAAGATATATTTCTATGTAATCTATCAACATATTTCATAAAACCTGTTTCTGTAACAGATCGGAAATTAATTTTTAGAATTAAAGAAACTTCCTCTAAAAAATTAAAATCTTAAAATTTTATATTTATCATTTTTATAAAGCAATGAAACGTAGCAGTTGATTGGTCTTAATTTTTAAAGGTAGCATCTTTAAATTAAACATCATTTAGTATATCATTCTTATTAATTACTATTTTAATTTTTTGAAAATAATTTCAGGTGTCCTCCAGTTACACTTAAAGATTCTAAATGCAGACGAGAAACCGGAAAAGGACCCTACCCTCACTGCTGCCAACATTCCGTCTGTCCCGGTGATCCAGGATTTTAAAAATCAAAAATTGTTTTAGAATGCTTAACTTAAAATTTCTCGCATATTTTCTACGAGAAATTTTCTTAATTCTCAATAAATTTTAAAAATTTATGGAGAAATATTTATCTAAATTGAACATTACTTCACCGTTAAAAAAATTATACATTCTGTGATAAAAAAATTCTAACTGGTTTTAAGAAATCCAAAGTCCATTATGCAACAAATATGCATTAAATTTGTTTCAATTAAATAATGAATTTTGTAATGCAATATTTTGTATTGTTTTTGTATTTTAATAACTAACTTAAAAATGAATACATTAATCTACGACTATTGACAAAAAATATTCTTGTGTTAAAGAACACATTGTATTGAAAAGAATTTACAAAATAAAATATTCAATAGCACATGTCTATATAATTTTGAAGTGTACTAATGCAAATTGGCATAAAAGGCTGAAGAAAAAAAAAAGAAATTTATAGAAATTCAACTTACTCAACATTATTGACGTAGAAAATAATTGAGGTAGTGTAATGATTAAAATTTTATGCCAAATATTAAATTCAAAAGGGAAAAATATCATAGCTTTAACTCATAACTTGAATCAACAACTGTATTAAATTTTTCACACATGCAAAGCAGACATTCCAATAAATAAAAAAACTTGAAGGGAAAAATTTATTTTTAGAGCATCACATAAATTTTCTTTAATTCATGTTAAATATTTATGCAATTTAACAATACAAGTCAAACTGGTTTTTTGAAAAAATTCCTCAGAGCAGAAATCCTCAAACTTTTGGCTCATCATTGAAGTATAGTTGAGTTCAAAACTGATCTCAGGGGAAATGATAAAACTGCTTGAAAAAAAGTTCCAATTAAGAATTGTCAAAAGTCGCAGGTTGTCCAAAAAGTGTAACTGGCAAAAACTCTATAATTTTAATTGGGACAACTTGTCATTTCGTCAAAAATTACAAATTTTAAGAATATCGTCTTATGCATCAAGACCACACTGAAAAAAAAATTTAAAGAAACTTCAACCTTAAATTATTTGAGTATTAATAAGCCTATTTTTTCTTCGACTAAAGATGCAAATGTTTTTGATAGTAGTGTGTCTTTTTCCAATGAAAACGACTTAATTTTGATGATACCTACGTCATAACTTATTATGCAAATAAGTTGTATGACTGCGATGCAAGTATGCAGCTGCTATTAAGCCCTTGAAGACATAAGATACACATGATTATTATTATAGACATGCATGGAAATAAATATTTTCTGAATAAAATCCCTAAAATTTTTCTTATTGTCTTCGAATTAATTTCCTTGCGTTGAGTGCTATAAAAATATTGGGGAACCAAACCCATTACCCCATTTACCAAAATAACAGAGTTAAAAATTTTAATATAAATTAATTAAATCAAATACCTTTCACTGAAAAAAAAAACTTTAAAGTTTTAAACTACTTGTAATTTTCAGTTTTCAAGGGCTTTCTTAAAGGTAAATCATGTTGACTCACGTCTTAGGTTTGGTCTCATTCGATTTAACGTAAAAAAAAAATGAAAGAAACACCAGAAAGAATTTGAGATTGAATTCGTATTCGTACGAACGGTAGTTCAAATCCTGTCGGCCGAAAAATCCCCAAATTTCTGAATAAAACTCCTATAATTTATCTTATTGTCTCGGAATTAACCAAACCAAATATATATATTTTTATATATTTTTAGTGTCATATATAGTTTTAGCAGTTAATTTCTTTTTCCAAATACCCTTACACCTGGCTGCAATGGGGGTGCCAAGAGGTTTAAGGTTGCAGCTTTACCGCTGACAAGTTTCTAGAAACTGAAAACCACACCACCTGCTTGATCAATTTTGCTTCTATGAGAAACAAAATGTTCTGTTAGAACAGTAAAAAAACTTCTGTTCTTGGTTTTCTTGGTTCTTGGTTAAAAAAAAATTAAAACCATTTATTTTAAGAGAGCTTTGGCAGAGGCAAGAGGGCTGCAGAGTCCTTTGATAGTATTTCAGAAGCAAATTTCTTCCTTTCGGGGGATCTTATACTTAAAAATTGTTAGTGAGAAACCGCAGAGAGTCACAACCTTGAACTCTAAATGAGCTCACCTAGATCACCTCTGATTCCTATAAAGACTGATTCCAAAAGTAAAAAACAAATTGAAAGAGAAAAGAATTGGAACCGAAAGAAGAAATGAGTCAGTCAGTTCTCAAATTAAACATTTACAAACTTGAAGAAAACGTTTTATACGAGAGTCGAACTTTTCAAATTTAACAATTATGAGTTGTTTTAAATGGAATTATGATTTCACTAGGTAAAACTTAAATTAAAATTTGTTTATTATAATGATGTAATGCTCTCTGAATCATTTCAGTAAGGGGCACACTGAAGGTAATATGATTTTAGATAAAGGTTTTATTTTTCATTTTTTTGTTCGAATATGCAATTCATGACCTTAGTTTAAATGAAAAATATGCTGCCCAACTAAATATTACCGCCTGCTAATGAAATGCAACCTGCATCCCTTACATTGGCCATCGAACATGATGAAGTATGTTACTGAGAAATAACGTCGAATAACGAGTTTCCCCATTAACACTTTTGATGATGACTTCACAATGATTTTTGAACAACTTTGTAAAATTTTAATGAACACGGAATTAAGAATAAAGTAAAGTAGTATATAACGCCCTGAAAATGAATTTTTCGAATGTGATGGTTTCAAAAAATACCAATTAATCATTAATTAATAGATGGATTAATAATTATATATTACTTACGCAATAGATTCATACTCAAAAAACTCATGATATACTAAACCAAGTTTCACCAGAACAACGAAGTTAACTACTGTTGCCATCACAGAACAGTAAAATATATAGATTAGTGTTGCCACCACAAAAACTAATATTAAAATGAAATCGTAACTAAAAATCTTCGTGACATATTTTAGATCTCCTTCCGGGTAGAATCAAGCCATACTGAACGTTCCATTGAGACCTCTCTTCCTCTTAGATCTCACTCTGTATTACTGACAATTTAGCGATAGATTAAAAAGAGAATATTACCTATTAATATATATGAATGTAATATTTTTTCTGTATATACAATAATAATGCAGATTAGTATTATCTATGCAAAAAATATTGCTTTAATTGTAATCAGAACCTTTTAAATTAGGAAAGAGAGCTACCGTGTTATTATCCTTTAATTAAAAATACCATAAAATTTATAAATGAAAAGCTATTTCTTAAAGGCAAGAGTTTGGATCCAATAGTGGTGTAAGTATTTAAGATACAGATGTAAAAGTATTTAATAATTTAAAATTAAAAAGTCCAGGATAAAAATATACAGAGTAAAAATATTCAAAAATACTATAAAATATTTCCAACTGGCTTAAACAAGTTAAATAAATCTGATTGGAAATTAAAAGCTCATTTTAATAAGCAATTCAACATGTCAAGTAAATATAAAAACTAATTTCTACTTTTCAAGGTAAATACTCATTTACTTGCTTATGATGTTTTACAGTTCTTTAATAGTGTAATTGTGTTATATTAGCATGCATTTATCATTTACTTTTATCACAAACTAAACATACTCTTGATGTTTCAACGGATAACCTAATCAGCACAATCATTGTTGCTTGCAATAAATAATTCATAACATTGGTAGTAATATCATTTTCAGTGTTTGTTTTATCATTTTCAAATAAGTAAATATTAAAATATTCTGCATTTGACTGCAACAATGGTCCAATGTAAACACGATGAAAATTTAAAGCATCGTTAATAAATAATTTGAAAACTGTATACAAGAGTCACATATGCGGGTGGTGATATACTATTAAATTATATTTGATAGTTTTTCATTGACAGCAACTCAACACACAGCCGCCAAACGTGCACAAACAACTTTAGAATTTTATTATGTTCAATAATATATTATATGACGATATCGTCCCTTAATAAATTGAAAATTGAATCTTGTTGCTGCAATATTAACAGGTATTTACGTCAGCATCCCCTTCTTTTCATCTTCATTAGTGAGGATAGCCAGGAGGGTATATAATATGAATCTGAAATTATTTAAAAAATTTTTTTTTATTCATAGCAGTAAAAAAAAATTTTATATGCAAAAAATATGCAGAAAGGGCAAAAGAGCACTGACCACCCTGAATAACTTTTGATCTTATGATAGGACCTTCACGTACTAAAACTGAATTTTAATGGTTTGAAAGAGTGACCTCAATTATGAAAGAGCTAATTAATCAGAGCGGGGGATATTTTAAGTTACGAAATCAGACACAAAAACGTAATTTCTCAGTATAAACGTTAATTTATTTTGACTGATTCGGCTTGATGGCCCATCAAACATAGAGGAAAGCCTAAATTGGGAAATATTGTCCCAATAGTTGGTCTGGAGTGTCTTCCAAATCTTGGAACCTTAATGTTAATTTCATTTTTTACGTATTTCGATATATCTCAAGAACATTTTGAGTGAATCGAAAATTAATTATAATAAATATGAACTGCAATTATAAAATTCGTTTGCCCAAAGATAATTTCTATCAAAAAATAACTATTAGTAAATATTTACTGTTATTTTATTTAATAGTGATCGAAAAAAATTTAATTTCAAAGGTATACAATTTTTACATTATTTTAAAGACTGTAATTTCGCATGACAAAATACTAAATTTGAGTGCTTGTATAGCTCTTGAGAAATCCAATTTTTAAAAAATAGTTTTCCAAAATTTCACAGATTTAAGGAAAATATTTAACATTCATTAATTTTGAACATAAATTTTTCTCGCGGTGTGTGAAATATCCCTGAAGATGATCCGAAGGCATACAGTCGCAATTTTGAATCTCTGCTAAGGGGATGGCACCCCAATTTTGGTAGCTCTATGACCTGCGTGTGTAGTTGAGCACTTTTTGATAAAACAGTTTAACGAGGGCCGATACCGTACACTCTTTGTCCTTTCTGAGCCGGATCAAAGTGGTCAACCACCCGCACACTGACCGCACTCAATAATGCTTGACTTCGGTAATCTACTGGGAACTAGTCCATTGAGGGACTGACTACGATTGCTG